TGGTGAACCGACTCGTTACACTGCTACGGAAACCGCTGCTGGATGGCTCCGTGGTAGATGTGCTAGTGGCGTTTCCATCGTCGTCAAAATCATACGGGGATCGGAGAGGTGCCGTCTCCCCAGGGTGATAGGAGCGTTTCTAAGGAAAAAAAAAGGGAAACAGAACTTCTCGTTAAACAGGTGAAGGAAGAAAAAAGAAATCAATAGGTTGGGTGGGAGAAACTGAAATGCAAGAAAATGGAATAGTCTCGGGAATACGAACAGGGAGGGGAGGGAGAGTGCATGAATTGAAAAGTGGGAAAGAAGAAGGGGAAAAGAAAAAGGTAAGTTGACCCTTTCACTCCCAAGATCTAATTGGAAATTCTTCCCTCTTACCACGATACATTTCTTTAAAAATTTGAGGGGAGAGTTTGGTGTTCTGTTATGAAGATATTCTTCGGCTGATGAAGCTGTCTGTTCTCATAACGTATTCATGAGATAACAAACTGGAACCTCAAGGAGAAGTTACATATTGATCAAGTCTGGGATACTTATTTTACTTTGACATAACAAGCGGGAGAAGGATAACATTGTGGTACTCAGAATGGAGATGAAACAGTGAAAAATTGTCATATCGCATTTCCTCAAATAAGAGGTTATATAATTTCGGCCAAAGGAGGGGGCGCCTATTGGAAGGATGCCTCTCGAAGGGGTCGCTTATAAATCTCCTGTTCTGATTCCGCTGCGGTTGAAGCTTGATAAATTATAGATGAAGTGGAAAAAGAAAGTGTTTTTCTTGGTATTCCTATCAGTTGAGGAAACGAGGGAGGAGACGGGAGTGGGGGGGAGGGGGGGTTTCGAGGGGGCGCCTGAGGGTTGCCTCTTATCCGGCGGAGGGCGCTTCTTAGAGCGTGGGTGCTTATTCAAAGAAATACTGAAATGCTGTATACCTAACAGGGGAGAGGTTGGGTCAGATAAAAGAATGGCTGAAAAATGAGAAGGGTAAAGACATGGAAGACCATGAATTGATCTTATGAAAAGGTGGTCAAAAAGCGGAGAAGAGCAAGTGAGAAACAGAACATGCTTTCAAGAGAGGACAAATCAATGAATATAGAATGTCTCATTTAAGGAAAGAGGGCGAGTTAAGCACAGAGACGTAAAGAGGGTGAATATTCCTCTTACAAAATGCTGCGTGGGTTTCTGTATCCCGTATGTCTTGTCCTTAGTCTTCCAGCGCATGTACACATTCTTGAACTCTTTCCGAACC